CTTGGAACAACGTAAATCCGACCGTGAATTTGCAAGAAAGTACAGAACATAAGATGTATCGTGATTCACCCCAATGTTTGGGCTACATCTACACTGATGTTGATATTGTTTCACTCTGAATGGTGAATATACAAGAAGGCTAGAGGTAGTGTGCTCTCTAGCCTATTTTCTGTGTTTGCCCTCTCTGAGATGTTTTCTCTCTTCCCATGGCCTAAACCTTGACCTCCCTAATGAGGAGAGTGAAGAGTCCTTTTATAGAATAAGAGCTCCCCACTTATTACATAGTTGCCCCTTCATTTATTACATAATTACATTTGAGTTCCCTGAGTATTTATACGAGGTCTAAATACGGAGGCCCTAAATATGGTACAAACAGTAGTCCCCCAAGTCTTCAGTCAAGATAGTCTTTTGGCTGGAGACTTGAAATTTAGTCCATGTGTGGGCCGAAGTAACTAGATGTCGTCTAGAACTGATACTCGATATGAGGCGGTGCTCAATGTGAAATGATGCTCAACTAGAAGTAGCACATGTTGCGAGGCTGCTTGGCTTGTGGGTTATGTTGCCTTGGTTAGCTAGGCTTGCGGCGTTTGAAGGTGAGAGAGTCCCTTTTATAGAATAAGGGATCGCTCATCAATACATAAATGATGGGGTAGAGTTGATGCTCGTGACGAGACAGTTGCTCAGCAAGCGGCGATGTTCTCTAATGATGGTGAGGGAGTCACTTTTATAGAATAAGGGCTTGCTCATCAATACATAAATGATGGGCTAGAGTTGATGCTCGCGGCTAGGCGGTTGCTCAGCAGGCGGCGATGCTCTCTAATAATGGTGAGGGAGTTCCTTTTATAGAATAAGGGTTCGCTCCTCAATACATAAGTGATGGGTTAGGAGTGATGCTCGCGGCGAGGAGGTTGCTCAGCAGGCGGCGATGCTCTCTAATGATGGTGAGGAGTCATTTTTATAGAATAAGGGATCGCTCTTCAATACATAAGTGATGGGTTAGGAGTGATGCTTGCGGCGAGGCAATTGCTCAGCTGGCGGCGATGCTATCTAATGATGGTGAGGGAGTCCCTTTTATAGAATAAGGGCTCGCTCCTCAATACATAAGTGATAGGCTAAGAGTCTCTCTCTAATGAAGGTGAGGAAGTCTCTTTTATAGAATAAGGGTTCGTTCTTCAATACATGAATAATGGGTGCTCTCTAATGAAAGTGAGTGAGTCTTTTTTATAGAATAAGGGTTCGCTTCTTAGTACATAAATAATGGGCTAAGTCCCCCAAGTATTTTTCATACCCAGTTGCAGAAGCCCCCAATATATGGTACATAGTGTAGTCCCCCAAGTCTTCAGTCAATAGGGTCTGTAGGCTGGAGACTTCAAATTCAATCCATGTATGGGCCAAAGTGGCGGTTGTTCGAAAACGGTCTTTGTATACCATGCACTGAAGCTTTGTAGGTGAAGCTTTGAAAGTGAAGTTTATAGGTGAGGCTTTGAAAGTGAAGCTTTAAAGCTGGAGCTTTTGTAAATGAAGCTTTGAAGTCGGAGCTTTGTAAATGAAGCTTTCGAAGCTCGAGCTTTTGTAAATGAAGCTTTCGAAGCTGGAGCTCTGTATATGAAGCTTTCGAAGCTGGAGCTTTGTAAATGAAGCTCTCGAAACTTGAGCTCTCGAAACTTGAGCTCTATAAATGAAGCTTTCGAAGCTAGAGCTCTATAAATGAAGCTTTCGAAGTTGGAGCTCTGTAAATGAAGCTTTCGAAGCTGAAGCTCTATAAATGAAGCTTTCGAAGCTAGAGCTATGTAAATGAAGCTTTCGAAGCTGGAGCTCTGTAAATGAAGCTTTCAAAACTAGAGCTCTATAAATGAAGCTTTCGAAGCTGATTGACATGAGTGATGCTCATGGATGTTGACATGAGTGATGCTCATGAATGTTGACATGAGTGATGCTCATAAATGTTTATGTATGATTGACATGAGTGATGCTCATGTATGATTTTTTAAAGGACGGGTTGTACTTTTAATCACCTGGTTGGTGATAATAACGACAGGTTGCTGAATAATTTTGGAGTACTGAACGTATTTTTGATCACCTAGTTGGTGATAATAGCGGTCGGTTGTTGAATAATTTTGGAGTACTGGACGTACTTTTGATCACCTGGTTGGTGATAAGCAAGTGGGTGTCCGATCAGACAAGAGATCACCATGAGCACGTGGCTTATCAGTCTATAAGTTGGTAGACTTCTTTAATCAGCAACAATGTTGATCAGTGGATCTAGTTGCTCAATAATTTCTGACAATAAATGACAGTATAAGTATGACCGTACAATGAATAAATCAAATTGATAAAGTTTGTCAAGGCAAAATATTGTATTATGTGCCTTTTGTGAATAAATGATTTATTCTGTTGTGTGATAAATGACATGTTGCATAAATCAACAATATATTAGGTATTGCCTAAATGTGTGTGTATATATATAATCATGAATAAATGATTTATTCAGTTGTTTGATAAATAACATGTTGTATAAATCAATAACGTGGTAGTAATCATGTGATATCAGAAATAATAATTATATTATTTAATCATGAGTCATCATGACATAAAAATAATAAAATTATTATTTTATAATTAGTCATCATGACACAAATAAAATAATAAGATATTAAATAAACAATGATATTGAGAAAACATAATGATGTTTGCTGAAAATGAAAAGTAAAGCTTTTCTTATTTTTTTTCATTTTGTCAGATGGCAGACATAATAATGATAGAATTAATAATAGGAATATTGTAAGAAAACTTATCTTCTTCTTGTTTTCCACTAGTAGTTGTGATGTTTGCAGGAGGTGGGATCCCCGTATTTGGAATGAAGATAGATAAGTGTGATAGAAATGATTTCCTTTGCTGCTTTTAGTGAAGGCTTTTTCAGCAAAGTGGGAACATGCACTCCCCCTCATCTGATTTGCAGTGACTTTTTGTATAAAGTAAGCCACACCCATCCAGAACCTTGCAAAGCAGCGCCTTTAGTGGATATGATTTCATGGAGAAAGAATCATTGGTTGATCGCAACAGTGAGGACAAAGAATCTCTGGAACTGAACGATATCTTGCAATGTAGAATGGCATGTTGCAGTAAGGAATTGTTCCTTTGTTGCACCGTTCTCACTCGCCCTGTTCTTAAGGTACTGGTCCAGCACCTCCCGCCTCACTATCCTAATGTACTCGTGCGGCTTCAGGGTCTGCCCGATGTCCACTGCCACGTTCGACGGCGATATCATCTTCATCTTGGTGACGCGGCGGTCGATGATGCCCAGCAGGAAGTCGAACTCGCCCACCATGCAGAGCGGGATGACACCGCCGCATGGCTTGCAGTTGTCCATTTTTCGCTCGATGAGGAACGTCTCGACGCCGCCCTTGGCAAGAGTTTCTACAGCAGCTCCCCCATACGGGTTCGCCTCCTATAACGGCGACGCGGAGGTTTTGAAGCTAGTGACTTTTAGGCTGGTTTTGTCAGGGATGATAGGGATGAAAAGCTCTGGCTGACCATCGAGCTTGCTTTTGTCGGTCAAACTTTCAAATGGCTCGAGGGATCACAGGCAGCGCTCGAGGGAGTGGAACTCCAGAATTCAACTCTTGTTTGTTCAACACATTGATGGGTTCGGTGGAGGAGCAAAGCTAGGGAGGAGGGGCAATCCCGTCAATTAGGCATTTGGAGGCAGTTTCTTCAACATATTAGGGATGAATCCATATCTTTGGGTGATGCACAATGATGTGGAGGAAGGTGAGTGAAGCATGAGGTTCTCCGCAGCATGTAGAGAAGGGAATGCTTCAGAGACTTGACGAAGGGGTAGAGAGAGTTGGAGAGTGGAGAGAGAAGTTTTAGTTTATTGGGTTTTGCAAATTCACGGTGGACAGTGGTGAGGTTGTGAAGGTTTCACGGTGGTGAGATGAAAAAATGAAAGAGAACCGACGTAGCTTTTCGTGTCGTTTCCCACAGATGGCGCCAAATGTTAATGCACAAAACTAAAGGGGTCTTGGAACAACGTAAATCCGACCGTGAATCTGTAAGAAAGTAAAGAACACAAGATGTGTCGTGGTTCACCCCAATGTTTAGGCTACATCCACACTGATGTTAATATTGTTTCACTCTGAATGGTGAATATACAAGAAGGCTAGATGCGGTGTGCTCTCTAGCCTATTTTTTGTGTTTGCCCTCTCTGAGATGTTTTTTCTCTTCCCATGGCCTAAACCTTGACCTCTTTAATGAGGAGAGTGAAGAGTCCTTTTATAGAATAAGGGCTCATCACTTATTAAATATTTGCCCCTTCATTTATTACATAATTACATTTGAGTCCCCCGAGTATTTATACGAGGTCTAAATACGGAAACCCTAAATATGGTACAAACGTAAGGTTTAACCAAATTTCCTGGAATGTTTAAGCAGGTTCTTGACCTCAATGTGGACCTAAGTGCTGCAGAAGAATGAATAGCAAAGCTGCATGTGGTGCTTGTAGTGATATTTGTGCTTTGTTCCAAGTACACTGAGCTGCTTAAGTTACCTTACCTGTGATGGTGGTAATCCTCATACCGTGGAGTATTATATGAGTTATCACTCATTTTTAATCATAGCCTTGATATGTTATATATTGTCATTTAAATGTACTTCCAAGTTTCAAATGAAAACTATATGTCTGGATTTCGAACATGCCCTTGTGTTGGTTCAATGTATTTTCAGGATGCGAGTATGTGTGGAAGCATGTAAACAAAATGATAACTTGTCAGAGAACTATTTCTTCCAAGTTAATGATGTGTGAGGTGGATTCGGTTCTAATCTTCAACTTTAAACCAAAGGTGAATAATTAAGAAAAACATCCTGAAACTTGTCGATTGTTGGGAGAACACTTTGTTATATTCATGTTTGGAACAATGCTACTCTTGAATCATGTATGTTTCTTTTGTTGGCAAGAAAATTTGGTTTTTGTATTTTTATTGAGTCTCACTCTTATCCAATATTATTAATTTTAATAATATCTTTAATAAAAAAAAAGCAATTAAAATAGAACAATAATATAGTCCTAGTCTGAGCAAACTCAAACGGGTGATAGTACTGTTTTCATTATCCTACTGCTTAGTCCGATACTGCACCAAACGCTTCACTAAGCTAGTCCAGCTTAGTCTAGTCTAAGCCAGTTCAGTTTAGTCCTTGCATCTAATCTAGTCCAAGACAGTCCGGTGCAACAAACGCATCCTTAATTTCTTGATGCACCTTTTAGGCTTTAACCATCGGTTACACAGCTGCAACTACCAACACATTCGAATGAGCTCTTACCAGCATTAGGATCTTCAGGTTCAACCTTGGAGATGACACATTTCCAGCCTTCACCACACTCGCAGTAGGCTTCGTTTGCACCAATTTTCTCTACCTCCTCGTTCATCGTCATGGCCTCCTTCATCACTGTCCCATCTTCATAGCTGTCAAAAGATCAAATTAGGCATTATCAGTCTATATGCATCATCGTGACCATTGATACACGTATCTACGGACACTACTAGCCTCTTGTTACATATGCCACGGTTATCCACCAGGCCAGGAAGATTCACAAAAGCATTTCAGCCTCCTTCTGGTCACAAGTCTGGCTTCCACACCAACAAAGGGTTTCGAACCCAAGACCTTCAGTTTTTAATTTGAAGGAAGCCTCGCAATCCACCATTTACTACTGGACCACCAGCTCGTGGTTATACAACCTTCATAACTAGAACTATTCATTCTAGAACTATTATGTAAATATTATATATATATATATATAATTATTCGATTTGGAGACCGTTTATTATTTATAAAATTAAACAAATTGATGGTTCATTAAATAGATGTTACTTGTCATCATAACCGTCAATTAATTCAACACATAAAAATGACTAAACAATCTTCAAATTGAATGAAAAAAAGAACGTAAAAATCGGACTATAACGTTGGTATATTGAAATGATATCACGTTGCCATTTCTAAACAACTTAGATTAGTTTATCCCTATGCTGATTGACATACATAACACAGGTGCAGTTTCCAGCACAGCTGAAGAAGGCCTTGCCGGCATCAGGTCCCTCAGTCCTAGTGATGACACACTTCCATCCTTCGCCGCACCGGCAAAATGCTTTGCTGATGCCGGATCCGAAGTTGCCTCCCGCTGCGACAGACCTGCACAAATTGGAGGCAGCTAATTATGGGCCTGCGAAACCTTTGAAATATAATTCTGGCATGCAAACATTTGCATAATCTTCGTCTCGTAATATAAATATATAACAAATTAGCTCAGTGAGAATAAAACCTGACAGATTGCTCGCCAGAGCTCTGAGTCTCCATTGTCCGAAATTTGTTGAGAGATGGAAATTTTCAGAAAAATCATTCATCTTGTAAAGAAAACAGTTTTTGACAAGGATGTTATTGTCCATACACTACGAAATTGTCATGTTGTAATAATTGAGTGCCAAAATCTGTGGCCCAAAATTTATGAAATTTTATCCGAAGAGAAGATTGTTCCCAACAAGCAATTTATGAAAAAAATTCTTAGGAAGAGACCTTGGTGTATGAACTTAATCATATGGTACAGCCGAACTCGTCTCAAATTATAAGAAGAAGCGACATATATGATGATGCCCTCAATGCAAAATTTAGGATGCATGCCATGTTGGAAATTTTATATAATCATATAAAAATTCTAGTTATTCTCTAGACAATATTGATGCATGAAGAAAATCTCATTTTCATTGAGTTTTATCACAAATGTTTTTTGAAATTGACCCACCACATTAAGATTGGTTCTTGAAATTGAAAATCAATCAATGTAGTCCTTGAAATGAGTTTCCCAAACCAATGTGATTCTTCCGTCACAATTATGTCAAAATTTCTGTTATGTCATGGATTATTTGTAATAAAACCATTTCTTATTCGATCTAAAACGGTACACCTAAAGGCCTCAAGCGTTATTGTATAGAATTATCAAAGTGAAATGATTTAAGCAACATTTTTTCACTTATGTACACTCCTCTTTTCATCTAGCCATTGTAGTGAAAAAAAAAATCAAAGATGAATCAAAAGCTACAACTAAGAAAAGTGTGAATAAAGTAGAAAATGGTGTGTTGAAATCACTTCCCTTATCAAAATACGAAAAATATATTTAGGAATTCAAGACTTGAGACCTTTTTCAAAATGCCAATATTTGGAAATGCATAACAGATTTATCAAAAGAATATAGAGCATTGTGAATTGGATTAGCATTTCATCCCTTTCAACAAAACAGAAAGTTTTCGAGAGAGACAGATCCGTCCGACTACGCATAAGCTGTATCCAGAGAGTTTCAATATAAAATTGAAAGAAATGCATATAATGGAGTGGTTGACACCTAAAACCAACAAGGAAAACTAAAATAATAAGAAGGGGATGGTAGAAGCATATAAAAATCGGAGTAGGTTCTCTCATCTTCCATCCTCTCATATTTAAACGGTTACGATTATGCCACGTTTACATCTTGTTTTGAATTTTTTATATAGAGAATAAGACAAAAGGAAAAGTGTGAGAGGAGGTGATAGAAATGGATGATAATAGGAGGAGATAAAATTTTACTCACATGTTCTTCGTGTCTTGCCAATATAAATATAATAAGATTTAGTGTACTAGTAATGGAGAAATAACACATAAGGCCATCTCCAACCGAAGGGTCCAAAGGGCTCTGGAATCTGGGAGGGCCCCACGGAATTGGAGAAGGCTAGAGGGTTGGCTGCATGCATTGGCCAGCGTGAATCTGGGAGGGCCCCACATGAATCTGCACAACCCAAGAACCCAGAACCTCCCTCATTGGGCTTTTCCAGAAAACCACAGTTTCTTCTCTCTCTATTTCTCTCTGTAGAAAACTCTCATATTTCTCTCTCTACATTTCTGGAAACACTACAGACTACACCAAGAAGTTTGGGTCTTTATAGATATCAGAGAAGGAGGAGGACACTCCATCTAAAGAGATATAAAAGCTCCATTCGAGAGTCGGGACTTCACGAAATCTTCCGAGGTCGTATCTCTCCATCTCTCTTCCCTCTTGCTTTATTCTTTGAGAATGATCTGTCTTAGATCTGAAACTTTGATTCAACGGTCCGATCCAGTTTCAAAATTTCCCAGCACTTTTCCATTCACTCCAGTTTCTCAACGTCTCCGACAATGCATTGGCCAGAAGAATCCCAGAAATTCTCACTCCTCTAAAAACTCACCAAGCTCACACAAATCTCCTGCTCCTTCACTCTCTCTTTCTTTCTTTCTCTAAACAGCAGTGCAATTGGGTTCGCCATGGCTGGAAGAAAGAGGAAGCTGAAATCGTTAGCTGAAACAATCACAAATAGTAACAGAAAAGCAAGTAAGACGAAAAAGGAGAAACTGGAGCTGCAGACTTGCTCTGACCTTCCTACCGAACTTTTGGAACTCATTGTGTCTACTTTCACTCTGCGAGATATTTGCGTATTTGTTGTGTTGATGCACAAAATCAGAGGGTCTTGGAACAACGTAAATCCGACCGTGAATCTGCAAGAATGTAAATAACACAAGATGTATCGTGGTTCAACCCAAGGTTTGGGCTACATCCTCACTGATTGTATTTCTCTGAGAGTATTTGTGAGGGAGAAAGTGTGAGAGGGGTGAGAAGGCTTAAGAAATGGCATCCTCTAATTGTGAGGGTGATGAGTCCTTTTATAGAATAAGGGTTCTTCACTTATTACATATTTGCCCATTCCTTTATTACATAATTACATTTAAGTCCCCCGAGTATTTGTACAAGATCTAAATACGGAGGTCTTAAGTATGGTATAAACAGTAGTCCCCTAAATCTTCAGTCAAAAGAGTCTTTTGGCTGGAGACTTGAAATTCAGCCCATGTGTGGGCCGAAATAACTAGATGTCGTCTAGAGCTAAATACTCGATATGAGGCGGCGCTCTATGTGAAATGAGGCTCAAATAGATGTAGAACATGTTGCGAGGCTGCTCGGCTTGTGGCTTATGTTGCCTTAGTTAGCTCGGCTTGTGGCGTTTGAAGGTGAGGGAGTCCCTTTTATAGAATAAGGGCTCACTCCTCAATCCATAAATGATGGGCTAGAGTTGATGCTTGCGGTGATGCGGTTGCTCAGTAGGCGGTGATGCTCTTTAATGATGGTGAGGGAGTCCATTTTATAGAATAAGGGCTCGCTCCTCAATACATGAATAATGGGCTAGGGTTGATGCTCTCTAATGCTGGTGAGGGAGTCCCTTTTATAGAATAAGGGCTCACTCCTTAATATATGAATGATGGGCTAGAGTCCCCCAAGTATTTTTCATGAGGCCTAGTTGAGGCCCAATATATGGTACATAGTGTAGTCCCCCAAGTCTTCAGTCAATAAAGTATGTTGGCTGGAGACTTCAAATTGAATCCATGTATGGGCTGAAGTGGCGGTTGTTCGAATGCGGTATTTGTATACCCTGCACTGAAGCTTTATAGGTAAAGCTTTGCAAGTGAAGCTTTGAAGCTGGAGTTCTGTAAATGAAGATTTTGAAGCTAGAGCTTTGTAAATGAAGCTTTTGAAGCTAGAGCTTTGTAAATGAAGCTTTTGAAGCTAGAACTCTGTAAATGAAGCTTTTGAAGCTAGAGCTTTGTAAATGAAGCTTTTGAAGTTGGAGCTCTGTAAATGAAGCTTTTGAAGCTAGAGCTTTTGTAAATGAAGCTTTTGAAGCTGATTAACATGAGTGATGCTCATGAATGATTATGTTGATTGATATGAGTGATGCTCATGGATGTTGACATGAGTGATGCACATGAATGTTGACATGAGTGATGCTTATGAATATTTATGTATGATTGATATGAGTAATGCTCATGAATGTTTATGTATGATTGACATGAGTAATGCTCATGTATAATTTGGAAGTACTGGACGTACTCTTGATCACCTGGTTGGTGGTAATAGCAGCAGGTTGCCGAATAATTTTGCAGTACTGGGCGTACTTTTGATCACCTGGTTGGTGGTAATAGCGGCAGGTTGCCGAATAATTGTGGAGTACTGGGCGTACTTTTGATCACCTAGTTGGTAGTAATAGCGACAGGTTGTCGAATAATTGTGGAGTACTGGGCGTACTTTTGATCACCTGGTTGGAGCTATTTTGGGCTTATGGGCCTTCGCCCTCTACAAAACATTCCAGCCCATTTATTTTGGGCTTTGCCCCTTTTTTTTTTTTAGTATTATTACCCTCTGATGTGGTTTATACAGATGTCTCCGAGAGATAAGAAAAATAAATTACATCATACATCTGTCAAAAAAGTAAATTACATCATTCTGGTGGGGTGTTTATTCCTTACTTTTGCTTTCTGCTTTTGCTTTCTCTTTTGCCTTTTCTTTTCACTTTAACATCATGGTGTCATCTGTGAAGAGTGGGAACATGCATGATGAAAGTTGGTAGGCATCTTCTATGTTGTCATTGTGCCAAGTTGATTCCCTTAATCAACTTGGAGCTTGGGCTGTTGTGCATTAGTGGGTAGCTATGCTTTCTGTTTTTTTCTTTTTGCTTTCGCTTTTGTTTCTGTTTCTTGCATCTTCTTTTCTGTTTTTGCTTTTGATCTTTTCTTTTTCTGCTTTGTTTCTCTTCTTCGACCTCCACGCGCTGCAAATCGTCACCAGTTTCTTCTCCGACCTCAACAAACTTGGGCACGGAGGCTTTGGCCCCATTTACAAGGTATGTACAGACTTGTAAATAGCTGGCTCGATCAGGGCTGACATTATCATTTTGTGAGAGTGATACCTTTTGGCAGCTCTCATATTTCTCTTGTGAGGTTATCGGGGACGACAGAAGAAGATCTTGTCGCTGCTACACATGCCGTGGAGGCAGGAACTTATGTATAAAATCCGTGAAATTAAGATGAAAGTGCTCTTTATCGCCTGACCATGCTCGTCTCTGCTGTTGAGCAGCTCTAAGTAATGGCTTATGACACCATAACCTCACCATCGACAGGATTAACCACAAACTGCACATTGGAACCACCACATTCCACTCCAATCTCCCTTATGATAGCAATGGAATAGTCCCTGAGCCGCTGATACTCCTTATCCATCAAAGTCTGAGCCGGGGCCACAGTGATAGTATCCCTTGTATGAACCCCCCATTGGGTCAATATTCTCAATGAAACATAATCACTACATTGTCAGCCAAGTCCCTAATCACCTTAAGCTCATACTCCTTCCATCCCAACAACGACTTCTCAACCAAAACCTGAGATGTCACACTAGCTGCAATCACTGCCTTACAAATGTCCTCAAATTTTTCTTTGTTATAAGCAGTGCCACCTCCGGTTCCTCCCAAAGTAAATGCCGGCCTGATAATCAATGGAAACTCCCTAATCTCATTCACAATTTTGATACATTCCTCTAAAGTAGTCGCAATCCCAGATGGCGACGTCTTGATACCTATGTTCTTCATGGCCT